TGGGTGGGGCCAGAGGAGGCCCCGGAGATGCTGGGAGGGCTGGAGCCCCTCTGCTGGGAGGGGGGGCTGAGAGAGTCAGGGGGGGGTCAGCCTGGAGAAGAGAAGGCTCTGGGGAGACCTTGGAGCCCCTTCCAGTCCCTCAAGAAGGGGGGCTCCAGGAAAGCTGGGGAGGGACTCTGGCTGAGGGAGGGGAGCCCTAGGAGGAGGGGGAATGGTTTTATTCTGAAAGACAGAGATTAAGTTTAGATGTTAGGAGAAATTCAGCTGTGTGGTTTTGGGCTTCCCTACTGTATACATAGCATGCCTAAACTCAAGTTAACAAAAAAACCCAAATGACCAAACCAGAAACCAAAATCTCAGGAAGCGTTCAATTTTTATAACTTAAAAAAACCCACCCAAAACAAACTAAAAAATCCCAAACAAAACCACAAAAAAACCCCACTCCCAAGACCGCCAAAATTTCTTTAATTTCCTCTTTCTGGCTGTAGAATATTTCATTAAACTCCTAACTCCAACCAGGCTTTCTGAAAACTGGAAATGAGGTATTTCGAGTTGGGTGCCCCAAATTAGTGGACACTTGAAAATCTTAATGTGTCTGTCTCTTCTCCCTGTTGTTCCTTTTTTTTTAAAAAAAGAAGAAGATAGCATCTTATACTGTGCTTACATTTAATGTGTGAAAAGCTGCCTGAGATCTCAGTCTGGGGAAAAAAAAAAAGGCTTTGTTCAGTTAGGGGGAGGGAGGAAGCTATTTTTATTATCTCTGGTTTCTCTCTTTTTTGGTTCTCTTCATCTCTCCCCCGTTTTCATCTTCCAGGTGGTGTTGGGTATGCCTGGTGGCACACTCTCACCCTTGCACTGGTTTAAATGGATGTTAACTGGTCCTAGTGAATGAATACCTGAATATCATTCTGCATCTTTTCAGCAGGGTGGTTAACCAGGTATCTGGTTCTTCATAACAGGCAGCCAATTTATTCTCAATTGCAAAGATATTAAATAGCAGCATTCCTATTTCTTGAATGTGATTAAAACATACCACTGAGATTTGTAAATTATGTGCTGATTTGAAATCAGGCCTTGCTGCTTCATTGGCAACGCTCAGAGTACAAAATGGGTTGTACTGGTGAAAAACCCTAAGAAACTTGTCGTTGCCTTGTTGTGTTCCCACCTGTGTTCATCCTTCAGTAGTCCTGAAGCCAGTTCCATCAGGGAAAAGAAAGATTATTTTAGGGATAAAGTTTAAATCAAATTTTCTTAGCAATGTGTTATAAATGAAATTGTTGTTTACAGAAAGTTCTTCCTTCTTTACGCATGTGGAATAATAAAACCTGAATTTGTCCCACTGTTTCCATTCATTTCCATGATATAATTTCAAACTTTTTACTGATGCTGGAAATGTCTTGGAAGTGAAGGGAGTGTGTTAATCACATGGAAGACTTGTGAAAAGAATTAAATCACTGAAAAACTGATAAGCCAGAGTCTGTGGGCAGCTTTCACAGTGTTTTGATAAAACTATGTTTAGAAGAAAAATATATAGAGAAACTAAAAGCGTTGGCAGTTGTTGCATATCAACTTCATTTGGAATTTATTCTCTGTATCGCAATAAGCAATGCAGCTGTTGCAAGGAATTACTGTAATTACTGCTTTTTAAGTAAGTTGCCTGGAAAGGCAAATTGGGAGAACCCACCTGGATCTCTGTAACTGAACAGCGATAGAGCAGCTCTGGGTGTACGGGTCAGAATGGAGTTGTTAATTTGAGATATTTCTGGTTTCAGGCTGAAAACCAAGACGTCAGCGAAGTACGGGCTCTCGGCGCAGCCCCGTCTGGTTGACATCATCGCTGCTGTTCCCCCCCAGCACCGCAAGGCGCTGGTCCCCAAGCTCAAGGCCAAGCCTATAAGAACTGCCAGTGGGGTGAGCACATACATAACACCATCCTCTCCCACTCTCATCAATAAATTGTCTTTAATTGTTTTCAAAGACCGTGATATTGACTGTCCAGAAGCTTTAACAGAGATGTGCTGGCTGCATCGCCCTCTGCTGGGAGGGGGGGCTGAGAGAGTCAGGGGGGGGTCAGCCTGGAGAAGAGAAGGCTCTGGGGAGACCTTGGAGCCCCTTCCAGTCCCTCAAGAAGGGGGGCTCCAGGAAAGCTGGGGAGGGACTCTGGCTGAGGGAGGGGAGCCCTAGGAGGAGGGGGAATGGTTTTATTCTGAAAGACAGAGATTAAGTTTAGATGTTAGGAGAAGTTCAGCTGTGTGGTTTTGGGCTTCCCTACTGTATACATAGCATGCCTAAACTCAAGTTAACAAAAAAACCCAAATGACCAAACCAGAAACCAAAATCTCAGGAAGCGTTCAATTTTTATAACTTAAAAAAACCCACCCAAAACAAACTAAAAAATCCCAAACAAAACCACAAAAAAACCCCACTCCCAAGACCGCCAAAATTTCTTTAATTTCCTCTTTCTGGCTGTAGAATATTTCATTAAACTCCTAACTCCAACCAGGCTTTCTGAAAACTGGAAATGAGGTATTTCGAGTTGGGTGCCCCAAATTAGTGGACACTTGAAAATCTTAATGTGTCTGTCTCTTCTCCCTGTTGTTCCTTTTTTTTTAAAAAAAGAAGAAGATAGCATCTTATACTGTGCTTACATTTAATGTGTGAAAAGCTGCCTGAGATCTCAGTCTGGGGAAAAAAAAAAAGGCTTTGTTCAGTTAGGGGGAGGGAGGAAGCTATTTTTATTATCTCTGGTTTCTCTCTTTTTTGGTTCTCTTCATCTCTCCCCCGTTTTCATCTTCCAGGTGGTGTTGGGTATGCCTGGTGGCACACTCTCACCCTTGCACTGGTTTAAATGGATGTTAACTGGTCCTAGTGAATGAATACCTGAATATCATTCTGCATCTTTTCAGCAGGGTGGTTAACCAGGTATCTGGTTCTTCATAACAGGCAGCCAATTTATTCTCAATTGCAAAGATATTAAATAGCAGCATTCCTATTTCTTGATATATTTGTTATCTCCTTCAAGGGTTAAGGCACGGGTGTCGTAGGCGGCAGACTAAGCAGAAAATGTCTTTAAATAGTCCCTGGCAGATGCACACGTGTGCACAGCCTTCCACCACGCACTTTATTTTAGTCACTTCACAAGCAATTACTGTAATTTTTCTCCTCTGTAATTTTGCTTCTTACAGATTGCCGTCGTGGCTGTGATGTGTAAACCCCACAGATGTCCACACATTAACTTCACAGGCAACATATGTGTGTAAGTATCACAGCTTAGGTGACCTAAAAGGCCTGTTTTCCAGTATTTATGTATATATCTCGTGTTGCACCAGCGTTGTACTGGGGACAGGCTTCCTTTCTGCACAAAGTTCCAGATTGCCAATACTAACACATTACACTTAAAAAACGTGATTGTTTTCAGTTTTGGTTCAAGGAGGGCACCTTTTTCTTTCGTGGGCCAGAGCCTGCTCACCTTTAGTAGATACACGCTTTGGTGAATGTAGTAACCAGGAGAACAAGTCTCCTGAGGAGCAGCTGAGGGAGCTGGGGGTGTTCAGCCTGGAGAAAAGGAGGCTGAGGGGAGACCTTCTGGCTCTCTCCAACTCCCTGAAAGGAGGGTGTAGCCAGGGGGGGTCGGTCTCTTCTCCCAAGGAACAGGGGATGGGAGAAGAGGAAATGGTCTCAAGTTGCACCAGGGGAGGTTCAGATTGGAGATGAGGAACAATTTTTACAGTGAAAGGGTTATTAAGCCTTGGAATGGGCTGCCCAGGGAAGGGGTTGAGGCACCATCCCTGGAGATATTTAAAAGCCAGGTTGACATAGTCCTTAGAGACATGGTTTAGTCATGGGTTTTTGTCAGTGTTGGGTTGATGGTTGGACTCAATGATCCGAAAAGTCCCTTCCAACCTAAACAATTCTATGATTCTATATGCTAATAATAACTGAATGTGTTACTGCGTTAGGGTGTGCAGGTGTGTTGTGCACACGACTGGGTCCCTGAGCAGGTTGGAGAAGACTATTCTGGAAAAGAAACAGGGCTCCATCTGAAAAGTCTGAAAGCTGCTGAACCGAGACCCACCTGAGGAGGTGCAGGTGGTGTCTGCACAGACTCGCTCGGTGACACTGTCTGGCTCTGGAAGGAAACGAGAGCGCAGATGGAGGGGAAGGCCTGCAGCTGCCAGGAGCTCGTGGCATTAAGGGAGTAACTTGGGAGTTTTATTTGAATTGAGAAACCCAAGCTGGCTTTACCTTGAGTTCTATTACCTCTATTTGACTTAGGAGATTTGAGGTGCGCGGACTCTTGTTTTTTTTAATAACCGTGTCAGTTCATCTCTTTCAAAACGTTGCTTCTCTTTCCTGCTCTGTCACTCCTGACTTTGTGTTTCACTACCAGCTGCCCGACAGAGAGCCTTCTTGTTTTCACATGAGCAGTTATTCTGTTTGAGACGTTCCAGGTAATTACCTGGAGGAAATGCCTTCAGTCGGATCGCCCAACTTTTGCCAGCAAATTAATTTGGCCGTGGTAATTTGGTAATTAATTTTATAGCGGTGACAGATGACTTGGGTTGAGTTTGCAGGGCAGGCAGTGAGGAAATTAATCAATTAGAGTGTGAACTGAATGTGTCTGATGTGATAGAGATGGCATTGTCTTAGGTCTGGGCGTTGGAGATCTGCGCCGGGAGTGACAGCGCGCCGGCTGCTCTCTTCCTGGGGCTGTTGGAGGAGCTCAGCACCAAAGGGGCTGTCAACCCTCCCCTCTCAGGTCATCTTTGAGCACAGAACAGCTGTAGATCGGTCATCAATCCCACAGGATTATTCTGAATCCTTCAGAACAGATTTATATTCCTTTTAATTATTATCTGCTGCGCACTGTTCCTCTCCTGGCTAGCAGGTGTGATAGCTGCAACTCTGCCTTGCTCTGTCATGGAATAGGAGCCTCTAGGTGTAGAAGCTGTGATTTAATACCAAACTGCCATACAGTAATTCAGAGTAGATGGACTGTATTCTTTTGAAATAGACTTAAAATGCTGTATTTATTAAATAGCACGTTCCTGAATTCACAAAACAAGTGTAAATGAGCAACCTGCTCTGGTGGGAGGTGTCCCTGCCCAGGGCAGGGGGTTGGAATTCGATGATCTTTAAGGTCCCTTCCAATTCCAGCCATTCTGTGATTCTATGATTCTATGAAGATACTTAAATTCTATAAACTTTTGGAAAAGAAATGTAGGTTGTGTAACAGAATGATATCTCTATTTTATGTCTTCCTGTGCCAAACCAAAAATCGTATTTTACATCAAGTAAGATGTTGTTTTTGAATATTTGAAATATTTAATTCTTTTATGAGTGTAAAATTCCTTTTTAAAATCTGATAATCTGTGTATAACTCTTACTCCAAAACTCTGGCTGCTCCCTAAGATAGTGCCACATTCCAGAAATACGTTCACAGTACATTTTGCTTCTAGTAAGTTTCATGTGGTTGTAGCCGCTTGGCAGGTCTGAACTGCTTTTTTGACATCCCATTCTCATTAAAATTAAATGAGACAACTGTTTTGCACTGTATGCTCAGTGTTTGTAAACATGCATAGGCTCGGTTCCTCTCAGTGCTACTGGGTGACACAGAATCACTCTCCAGTGTGTGCTTTTGGGTCTGTACCTCTATTTACATTGAGTGATGCAGAAACACAGGAATTTATTTGTTCATCCCATGCTCTGAGCAGGCCAGTGTGAGCTGGGTTTAGTCTGGAAGCTGTATTGCAGCATTAAGGTACTGTAGAGCTTGAGCTAATTAGGACTTCCTTTGGTGGGTTTGATTTTGTCTATAGGAGAGCTCCAGAGAATGGGTGGTGTGTTGCTGTGGTCAGGCTGTCTCCGCACCCTCTTTCTCACCCATACCTCAGACAGATGGATTAAATCCTTGCAATTGCATGAGTTTGATGCCTGCAGGCTGTCTCCAATTTCATAGAATCACAGAATGGTTCAGGTTGGAAGGCAGCTTAAAGATCTCCCAATGCCACCCCCTGCCCTGGGCAGGGACACCTCCCACCACACCAGGTTGCTCCAAGCCCCCTCCAACCTGCCCTTGAACCCCTCCAGGGATGGGGCAGCCACAGCTTCTCGGGGCAACCTGGGCCAGGCTCTCACCACCCTCCCACCAAACAAGTTCTTCCCCACAGCTCAGCTCCATCTCCCCTCTTGCAGGGTCCAACCCTTCCCCCTCCTCCTAGGGCTCCCCTCCCTCAGCCAGAGTCCCTCCCCAGCTTTCCTGGAGCCCCCCTTCTTGAGGGACTGGAAGGGGCTCCAAGGTCTCCCCGGAGCCTTCTCTTCTCCAGGCTGACCCCCCCCAACTCTCTCAGCCCCCCCTCCCAGCAGAGGGGCTCCAGCCCTCCCAGCATCTCCGGGGCCTCCTCTGGCCCCGCTCCAACAGCTCCATGTCCTTCTGCTGTTGGTGGCCCCAGAGCTGGAGGCAGCACTGGGGGGGGTCTCCCCAGAGCGGAGCAGAGGGGCAGAATCAACCCCCTGGCCCTGCTGGCCACGCTGCTGGGGATGCAGCCCAGGGGTTGGGGGGCTTGCTGGGCTGCCAGCCCATGTTGCCAGTTCATGTTGAGCTTCTCACCCACCAACACCCCCACGTCCTTGTCCTTGGGCAAGATTTTCTGTTCCCCTGCGTTTCTGGTGAGAGATGGGGTAGTCAGGGCAGTGTCTGCTCAGCCTGCACCCTCTTTCTCACCCATACCTCAGACAGATGGATTAAATCCTTGCAATTGCATGAGTTTGATGCCTGTTTTCTGTCTTTTTGTATTTGCAGGTACTGCCCAGGTGGACCCGATTCTGATTTTGAATATTCAACACAGTCTTACACTGGATATGAGGTATTACTTTGGTCTGCCCTAACGCGTTACCTGCACTCTCTGTGAGCTTGGGTTAGGCCACTCTTTATTTCCACAAATTCACTCATCTTGAAAGAATAAAAATCATTACAGAGATTCCTTATCCATCCTGCTGTAATGCACTAAAAATTTGAAAAATACAGTGTCTCCCCGGAGCCTTCTCTTCTCCAGGCTGACCCCCCCCAACTCTCTCAGCCCCCCCTCCCAGCAGAGGGGCTCCAGCCCTCCCAGCATCTCCGGGGCCTCCTCTGGCCCCGCTCCAACAGCTCCATGTCCTTCTGCTGTTGGTGGCCCCAGAGCTGGAGGCAGCACTGGGGGGGTCTCCCCAGAGGGGAGCAGAGGGGCAGAATCCCCCCCTGGCCCTGCTGGCCACGCTGCTGGGGATGCAGCCCAGGGGGTGGGGGGCTTGCTGGGCTGCCAGCCCATGTTGCTGGCTCCTGTTGAGCTTCTCACCCACCAACACCCCCAAGTCCTTCTCCTTGGGGAAGACTTTGTGTTCCCCTGCATTTCTGGTGAGAGATGGGGTAGTCAGGGCAGTGTCTGCTCAGCCTGCACCCTCTTTCTCACCCATACCTCAGACAGTTGGATTAAATCCTTTCAGTTGCATGAGTTTGATGCCTTTTTTTTCTGTCTTTTTGTATTTGCAGGTACTGCCCAGGTGGACCCGATTCTGATTTTGAATATTCAACACAGTCTTACACTGGATATGAGGTATTACTTTGGTCTGCCCTAACGCGTTACCTGCACTCTCTGTGAGCTTGGGTTAGGCCACTCTTTATTTCCACAAATTCACTCATCTTGAAAGAATAAAAATCATTACAGAGATTCCTTATCCATCCTGCTGTAATGCACTAAAAATTTGAAAAATACAGTCATTCTCTTGATGTTTTATTGCTATCTAAGGATAAAAAAATATGTTACAGGGCCAAATCCAAATTTACATTTGGATGGATTCTCTGGTTGGGAGTTTGAAGACAGTAGGGTTCACGAGGATTTGAAGAATTTGAAGCATTTCTGTGCTAAAAGTTATTTTTTGTTCTTTTCCACTGTGGGGTTGTTGTTTGTTTTTTTTTAAAAAAAAAGTTTACAAAATGGATCTCCTTGTGTTTTTTAGCCAACATCCATGAGGGCCATTCGGGCTCGGTATGACCCCTATCTCCAGACAAGACATAGAGTGGAACAGGTAAATTTTTACAGTGAAAGGGGAACTCATCGTGATTGTGGAGGAAATAACAATAATGCAGTCTAGCAGTTATTTCCATTAGATAAATGACAAGTTTTGAACCTCTTCTAAGATGTCATCTCTTCTGAACAATCTCTGATGACTGATAGGAGACCCTATTGCAACAAAATTGTACTGAACTGTGCCAGTTGCTCGTTCTTGATAATGACTTACCTGGAGAATTTAGTACTGAAATGGTGTCTTTCCTATCAAAATTATTTTTTTGGGGGGTCTCTGCTGGGAATTAGATCTGAAGAGTTTCTCAATCCTGTTCTGCTTTGACTGGTTCCCTGTCTATGTCCAAATCCATTGGAAGATTCTCCATGGATTCAGGGTAGTCCTTTTCTCTCCCAAGTTTTTAAGGAGGTTGATTCTACCTGGATTGAAGGAAACTCTCCCTACTGGCAATATCTAAGCCAGCTTCAAACTGGAACCAGTAACTCCCACCAGCAAGATGCCAGGCTCAAATAATTCTGCTTTGTCATGAGAGCCTGTTACGCTGGGCTCAATATCTACTGCATTCTTGCAGCAGAAAAGTCTTTTTTCAGAGAGGTTATAAGAAATCTGTCCAGAAGTATTAGTGGTTTGTCATTCATTAAAGATATGACAATTAAAGAAGCTGTAGGAATGTCAGGGTTTTCGGAGAAGTCTTGTAGGTAAGTCATTGGTAATTAGATGCCAGGCTCAAATAATTCTGCTTTGTCACGAGAGCCTGTTACGCTGGGCTCAATATCTGTCCTGCATTCTTGCAGTAAAAAAGTCTTTTTTCAGAAGGGTTATAAGAAATCTGTCCAAAAGTATTAATGGTTTGTCATTCATTAAAGATATGACAATTGGAGGTGGTGGAGTCCCCATCCCTGGCTGTGTTTAAGGGCCGTTTAGATGCAGTGCTGAGGGACATGGTGTAGGGGAGGACTTTGTAGAGTAGGGGAGATGGTTGGACTCGATGATCCCAAGGGTCTCTTCCAACCTAGACCATTCTATGATTCAAGAAGCTGTAGGAATGTCAGGGTTTTTGGAGAAGTCTTGTAGGTAAGTCCCTCATTGGTAATTTTTCCCTGGTACTTTTAATTTTCCAGCTGAAGCAGTTGGGCCACAGCGTGGATAAAGTGGAGTTCATTGTGATGGGTGGGACGTTCATGGCCCTGCCAGAGGAGTACAGGGATTACTTCATCAGAAACCTGCACGATGCCTTGTCGGGTCACACTTCCAACAACGTAGCGGAGGCCGTCAGGTAAGCACCTTGGTTTTCTTTAAGGTAATTATTTAAAAGTGTTCTTTAACTGATGTAAGTACAGAAAATACTGACGAGAAAAATTCAGGCCTTTTTTTTTAATTTTTGATTTTTAAAGGAATGTTTATCCAAATATGTGTTTAGGCACAGCATATTTCTAGCTCAGCTTGCAGCACCGCTCTGTGCACCGGCAGAAGAGAGGGCCACGGTTTATCTAATTTTCTCATGTAGGAAATGCTAAGCTGCTTCTAATTCCTCGGCGTTCCAGCTGGACTTCTACCTTTGATGCCTCATCACCTTGATTTGGAGTTGTGACGAATCCCATTGCCGGGGGATTTATTTCCTTTGGCTGGGAAGGGGAGCTGATCCTGGCTTGGAGGGAGGCCAGACGTCAGCTCCTGGAAGGGATGACTCAGCCCCGAGAGGAGAGCGTCAGCGCCGTTACCCTTGCGGTGTTTCGGTGTGATGGGGAGATGCTGCTCTCCTCATGTTACAGTCGATGGACTGAAAATCAGAGGCTGATTTATTCCTGTGTGTTTTGGGCTGTTAAATACATAACTTTTCGGTGTATTTCGCGGTATAAAAATATGAAGGAAAAAAGAGAGAGTTGATGCTTTGGAGCTGTTAAAACCAGCTGAGCATTCCCACTGACAGCTTTAGTTTGCTGCCTTGTCATCATTCAGTGCAGTGGATTTTCCTTTATACCATTATCATCTACTAAAGGAAGGCGTTTTAAAACTGAGCAAGACTAGCCCTTTCCTCCCTTCTTCATATTTTAAAGCTGTGATTTCATTTTGTTTTCCTCTGGAGGGCAGCAAACAGCTGGTTTTCTTTAGGTTTTTTTTTCATGTCACTCAAAGACCAGACAAAAAGTGCTGTGCTGCTCTTTCCAAGTGGGTTTTATCAAGATAAAATCACGAACAAGTTGGGAAAAGAATTGCTTTTCTTTTGCTCCAGTGCCCTGGTTGTGAGCACAGCAGGGGACAGCCCCTTGTGGAAGGAGGGTGGTGGTTGCAGGTTGTATACTAAAATTAGTGCAGTGTTTCTACCTACTTCAGGACGTGGTTATTCCATATTTTTTTCTGCTGCAGGTGTCTAGCTAATTTTTCTGGACCTAAAATAGCTTTTCAAGTAGCCTGTCCTTTGCTCTGCAGATTGGGGAAACTTATTTATGACACAGACCCTGTGATCGAGTAATTTTAAGCACGTGCAAAAATGAAGTGACTCTGAAGTCAATGCGCTGCCTCACGAGCAATGGGAGAAAACCTACCCTAATAATTTATGGCTTTTTTTTTTTTCCAGCAGATAAATAAAGGTTTATATTGTTAACATAAAATTCACGTTAAATGCTTAGTAAATGAAGGTATGTGGGAGTTATTCTAGTTGCACTTCCTAAATATTCTAGAGGTGAGAAAATTGGGTTCAAGATGAATCAGACCTTTTCCATTTTGTGCTACTTGTGTTTAGCTGTCGTACTGTGTCACTGCAGTGCTGTGTGGAGATGGTCAATGACACTTGGAATAAACATTCTGGGTTGAATTTATTTCTCTTTGTACCTGAGATGTCAGCCCTTCTCTCTCACTACTTCCATCTACATGGGGAATACTGACAATATTTCACTTGTTTTACATTGTGGGCACTGCGTGAGGTGATAGCCTGAGATCTGGTCTCTCTAACTCCTTACTCTGATGCTGGTAGCCTTGAAATTTTTCCTCCTTGTGCAAATCATTAGTTGATTTTCGATTTTGTACAGTGATTCCCTAATGGGGAAAAAGCCCTTCAGTCAGGATACTTCTTAAAAAGTCTTTCTGAGCATGACCTTTGATTAATCCAGTGCAGCATCTGTCTGTGTAGGCTTTGGTCCACCTCACTGTGGACATAATTTTTTCCTCTTTTGTCCAGTCATTTCTTTACTTTGTCCTAAACTTCAGCTCTGTGTCTATGTCCAGTGCTGTCTATGGCTGGTAGTGATAACGCTGACTTATACAGTCTGAATTGCGCGGCACCGAAGGGCTCATCTGTCTGCCATCCTCTTCTTGATGTAATTTTGAATTTTCTTCGTGTAATACTTTGTCATGATCAGCCCTTTGCAGCTTCTGCTCCCAGTTAATCTGATAAAAAGGATGTGACCAGTACAGTACGACCGTAGCCTGCCATGGAGGTATGTCCTGTTCCTCGCCAGGAACCAGCACTACGAGGCTGACTAAAGAAATAAGGCCTCAAACTGTGCTGGCTCTTGGACTCCAGCTGATGTTCTGAGTTGGCTCCTGGCTTTCTTGCAGGTACAGAGTCTTATGGTAAATGAAGCCTCGTGGTAAATCACAAAGTGCAAACCCAGTAGTGCCACGGTGAGAGAAGCGATGTGGGACTGGGAGTGTCTGGTTCAGGGATTTGGGGCACTGCTCTAGCCAGCCTCTGCCAAATGGAATCAGAGAATGGGGAGAGTTGGAAGGGACCTTAAAACCCATCCAGTGCCACCCCCTGCCCTGGGCAGGGACACCTCCCACCACACCAGGTTGCTCCAAGCCCCCTCCAACCTGCCCTTCAACCCCTCCAGGGATGGGGCAGCCACAGCTTCTCGGGCCAACCTGGGCCAGGCTCTCACCACCCTCCCACCAAACAAGTTCTTCCCCACAGCTCAGCTCCATCTCCCCTCTTGCAGCTCCAGCCCTCCCAGCACCTTTGTGGCCTCCTCTGGACTTCCTCCAACAGGTCCGTGTCCTTCTCATGTTGGGCAGCACTGGGGGGTGTCTCCCCAGAGCGGAGCAGAGGGGCAGAATCACCCCCCCGGCCCTGCTGGCCACGCTGCTGGGGATGCAGCTCAGGGGGTGGGGGGCTTGCTGGGCTGACAGCCCACGTTGCTGGCTCCTGTTGAGCTTCTCATCTACCAACACCCCCAAGTCCTTCTCAGGGAAATAAATAAATAAATCCAAAGCTGTGGTTTTATAGTCAGTGGAGAGAACAGGATCTTCATGGGATGGCTCAGAACATCCAGGCTCATGTCACTGCTTTAAACTGCAGGTAAACTGGGCGTCTGACTTGGGAGGTGTGAAGAACTCCCTTTATATCTGGATTTATAAAGTGGTAGGAGATCCTTTTTGCATGAGTGGACCTCAAGTGAGTTACAGTTTTGGTTTTTATGGATGAGTGTAGAAGTGTCTGTATTTACATACATGACCTCACCAACCAGAAGTGTGATTTTTAAAAAGATAAACAGAGAATCTGCCCGGCTTTCATAGAGACTCTTGTGAGTGGAGGAAGGAAATTACTTCCCTGAGAAAGTGTTATGGGTGTTTAATATTTCTGTAGCACCTCCTTATTGAGGTAATAAACACTGTTTAGACTATTCAGACAGAAGTCTTTGCCCGAGGTGCTTTGATATGCTTGAGAAATAAGTTGGCCAAGGAATGAGTAAAGGATTGCAGGGCCGGAGGGGATCTTTGTGTGCAACAAGACTGAGAAGTTCTAATTTTTATCTGCCGAGAACACCACTAAGGAGATTTCGGTGGCACTTCTGGATGCCTATCAAGCAAGGTTGTGGACTTGGTGATAAGCTTCCCTTCTTTAGGAGGAGATTTGTAATTGCTGCTAAAGAATCACTGTAAGACAAGATTTTGCTTTTTGTATGGTAGAGAAATCCATCTTTCTCTGGGGGTTGTTCCCATCAAGCCAAAGCGTTGCTGTGATTGCGGCTGCCTTCGCTCTTTCCAGAGGACAGCGAACCAAGGAGGTGTAAAATACCCATGCAAATTGCTGCTCCCCTTCATTCTGCTCCTCTCACCTGACCCGTGAGTCATTAAAGGTGCTAGGCATACTTATCCACCGCCGTGACTCACCACTTAACTCCAGCACCTCCTCTCTGAGCCAGGATCTGACTTTTAATTAATGAGGGAGGCCAAAGGAGAGCTCGCCTGCATTGAGAAAGGCAGGGCTCAGAAAGTGTCCCCTGGGCTCCGCGCTGGCACCGCTGCGGTTCCTTGGGCTGCATCATCAAGCCCAGCTCCTCTTAGTGTATTTGGAAATGCACATAAGTAATTTTCACAATTTTGTTTTAACAGTATCATGCGTTGTCTGATGTCCGATCTGGTCGTAAATCACGTCGTTAATGGCAAAGTAAGGAGGAGATAAAATTGCTGGGACCTCATGTTCTGCAATTCAAGTGCCTTGTGTACCTGATATTGATGTGACGATATCCAGGTGCACCACAGACATAATAACTGTTTCCAGAATAGGTCTGTAATCCCAGACTGGTTCGGTCTCTTAAAAGTAGTCTCTTAAAAGGCTCATTTTCCACTTGCATCGTGCGTCGAAACCCAGAACTTGCAGAAGCGAGAGTACTTTGATTCCTCCTGGAGAAATTGCAGCTCCTCAATACCCGACGACACCCTGAGGCTGCTTTTTTTCTTCCCCTCGTCATCAATCGATTTTTGCCGAGTGGCCTTTTGTGTTTCCACCACCACCACCTGTGTGCTCGGCTGGGCTGGGGAGGGGGCAGCAATGCTTCCTGCTGCCACAAGTATCCGCGTGATGCAGGAGGAAATCTCCTGCAGGTATCCCTTAAAGCCATATTGATCTTCTGGCGAGTGGTCAGCAGAGACATCCAGCCACTTTAGAGCCTTCTCTGAAAGAGCAGAGACAGGTTTTAAATAACCCCTGCTTAGGGTTGGATTGTTGTGTGTCTGGTTTAAGAACTCTTAACCCATCTGGGGCAGAAGAAAAGCCCTGAGCGCTGGTGGATCCAGCAGCAGTTGGTTTGATCTATGGAGTTCCTGATGCATTTGAAAACCCAGCTGGAAATCACTCTTCTTGAACGTGTCAGATCAGAGCAACCCCTTAAAAAATGCATTTTGGTTGGTTATCGGTTGAAACCGATGTTTTTGGAAAAACGGTCTTTCCAAAAACTGTGTTTTTTGGAAAGGTTGTTATATTCTCTTCTCAAATACCCACATTAGGTCTCATGTATCAGTAATTCTTCCAACAGAAGCTGCAGAAATGCAGTG